CTGACTAGGTGGCATTGGGTTCTGGAATCGATAATTTTGGGTCTTCCAGGTATAAGGAGGTTTTTTGCATCACCCCTCTTTTGGAAGTGGTTATGGAAAGTTTGAACAGTACTCTTTGGATGGTTTAAGAGCTCTCCAATCTCTCCAAAAGAGACTTTTTTTTTTCTCAGAGCAACTATTTGCCCTTTCTCAAACTCTGTAAGGTAGCCTGTCTTGTGTGGAGGCATCGTGGTTGAGGGGTGGTTGATTGTAGGAGTGGGGTGTTTTGAGGTGTCACACGGTAACCACTGATCGTACGGATCCTTTTGGCCTAGTGCTTTAGATTGCGATTGCAGCCGCAAGTTTTCCCTTGTTTTTAAAATATTTCTCTATCACAGGTTTCCAGTTTACAATAGATTCCCTTTTTATGTATTTTATCTTTATTCTATCCTCTCTTCTTTCCTTTCCTGCTTTGTCTCACCTGTCCCTGGATATAGATGTACACTGGATGCCAAATTACCTAGATACCGTTTACACACAGCGGGGTATTAAGGCTACTGTTAGGGCGCTTGCTATCGTCGTGATATGGAATCCGGTCATTTGTAGCACCTAGATGGAACTCCGCAATGACTCGCACTTTCAAATTTCATCAACGCCATCCATTCCAGCACCCCAGATGGGAGTATATGTGACAATTATATTCCGGGGGTGCCTACAACGCCATTAAAGTTTCCACCCTTATTCCCTGTCCTCCCTAACCCCGGCGCCCTCCCCACCCACCGCTGGAGTATCGTGGATCAAGAGCACCTAACTCCAGAGAACGGCGAGGGAGGGAAAGCGATGCGCCGTATATGGTAGCTATTTTGTAAGCACCAAGGAAGTGGCGGGCCGTAATTAGTGTTCTCCTGGGGTGCGGACCATGGTGGGCGTGTATGCCGCCAGCACAGTTAGCGGAAACGGCGCGGGCGGAAACTGTTTTTTTGTTGAAACGCGTCTTATCGTTATGCAAGGCTCCCTGTATCAGTAGGCGCTTGGTCTCCGGGTCAGCGACCAGGTAGTAGGGTTTTTCTTTTTTTTTTCTCCGCTGTGGCAAGCCTGGGTATGGCACCGCCTGGCACAATAATTTGGCAGATACCGTATTTAGGGCGGTGTTTTGTGCGTGAGATATTTTGCAAAGGATACCCGGGAGTTGTGCGCATGAGAGACAAGGGACTCTCAGCCTTCCCAGTTCGGCCATGCTGACGCGTGGGGACGGTGGCACCCAGACTGCGATCCAAAGTCAAGCGATTGCGTCCCTTGTGTCCCTTCACAATAGCGGCTTTCAGGGCAGATTGGATTGGTCGACTATCTCGTCGGGGATTTCTGTAGAAGAAATTGCTAGGTCTGCACGTCCTGGGGGAACGATGTGAGGGAGACCTTGCAAATCTCTATCTTTCTCGCGATGCCTTTCTAGCGCGGGAAACGTGTGGTTCTCGACGGACATCCGTTGCCCGCTTTCTTCGGGCTGCACATGTATGAACATATTCTTGTTAGAGAATAGGTGGTAATTGCACCTATAGAATTCTAGAAACACAGTGGAAGCTTTAAAGCAACTTGAGGAGACAGCTAGAGAAAGAAGCGGCGAGAGCAAGATTGCTGGGGATCCAGCATGATTGAAGGTGAAGAGAGGATGGGTTAGGTGATCGAAGTGATGCTAAGCATAGGCTACGAAATCCCCATATCCCAGAGGACAAACTTCGCTACAATCATGCCTATCGCCCGATATCTAATAACATTATAATCCATAGACGACCCAAGAATTTTGTAAGACTTAGTTAGGACTGAGACACCTTTGGCGAGGCATTTGGGACGGGGGTATCAAAGCTGTAATAGATTATTATCAGAACCTTATAGCGAGTGATAGGAACTGACAGCCGTATGGCGAGACCCCATGGGAATATACCAAAACGTGGACCAGTATTTCCTGTGAGTGGATTTGTGTTTTGGGGGGTAGCAGTGACAGAAATTATATTTCACCCCTGTTGAGTTTGCCTATCTGAAATCTGCATTCTCTCGCTTTCCGGCAGAGTGCCTCTAGCGGTTCATTCCAGAAAGGGATTCGGTCCGGCGGGTGGGTTCATGCCATTGCCGTGCGGCGGAATCACAGCTGGTGGATATTGCTTTCGCTCTTTTGCAGGATTTCTGCGGATGGGGTTGGCACCATACGGTGGGGCAGAGTTCCAGTATGATAAGATCTGGCTTTCAATTCACTGTCGAAATAGCGTTGTGATGTCGAGGAGCGCAATGTCAGTTGTATTTCAATCGCCCGCCACGGATCTCTAAATAATGCGTGCCCGGATTCTACGTGGCAACCTGTGCCTACAAGCACAGGGTATCTACGGCGCTTTAGGAATTTCCGCCGTATTCCATAATCCCGCCATTACTGGACTACCTTACCCCCGCCCCCGCCCGCTGTGAGAAACACTGCCGAAACAGACCCTAACCCATGCGAAAATGGCTGGTGGTGCTTGCTGAGGAGCCCGTCAGCCTTCCCTGAACAGGCAGGAACTGCCTTTTTCGTGAGAACAAATCGCCTTTCCGCAGCGCTCCTTCTAGTGGCGGAAGTTCGGCCTCGGGATTGCGTCTTCCCACTGTAAGCAGTGTTCCCAACCGTTCCGGGCAGGGTGGTTAAGGACGGCAGGGCATAGCGTCCGTCTTTGATAAAGACCGCCGTCCGAGGGGTTGACGCCCGGACCCGGGAGTCTTAATACAAATGGCATCTTCCGGCCGTCCTCGCCAGGCCCCGGCCGTCATTCGCAGAGCCCGGCCGTCATCTGCAGGGCCCACCGTCATTCGCAGGGCTCGGCCGTCATCTATAGGGCCCGGCTCTCATCTGCAGGGCCATTTGCAGGTGAGACACCTATAGGGCCCGACCAGCCGTCCTGGGTAGTGGTTAGGACGGACCACAGGACGGTCGTCCGTCCAGGGCAGAGTTCCAGAAACCGGTGTCCGTCCCGTCCGAAGCTAAGGACGGACGGACTGGACGCTTGGGAACACAGTCTGTAAGCTGTCAGAGGCGATGGCTTTCCGGCCGCAGCCAGACCGAAGCGATTGAAATTCCGGCTCCCTCTTCTCGAAGGTCGATTTCCGGGTTGAATAGTTTTGATGATTGGCCCCGTGGTGCTCTTGAGGTTCCCAATTAGCCTTGGAGGTTGCTCCCAATGGTGCGGGTGTATACCTTACAAATGTAAACCTCTTACCGATGCGGGAATTTTATCACAATCGCGGTATCGTAAGAGTTGGATAGAGGGAGACGGCGTAGGTCTTGACGGAGGCACATGGCTCGCATTCCCCGGCCTGGCCTGTTTATAGTGCCCCCAATTTGAGGGTTGAGATTAAACCCATTTGTTTAGATAGGGGTTCCTCGTTAGAGAATATGGAGCGATTGCGTTTATAAGTTCAGGTGGATGAAACATGGTTTTGCAACCTCTGCTTGGGGGATTTTGGTATCATACTGTGGGGGAAAAATGTGTTTGATTCCTTTTGTTTGAAACATGAGTTTGGTTCTGTAGTCGTGGTTGGGGCTTTGTTTGATTTGTTAGGGTTTGACTGACTGGCCATGGTGGTGTGAGAGGGGGAAAAGGGGATTTCCCTGTCAAGCAAGGGAATGGAGAACGAAGAACATAGGACTGTTGGAGAACGAACCTGTAGGCGAGAAACCGAATCTCTGCACACTGGTATTAGGGGCGGAGGGTGGAGGTTTCTCCACGGAGGGTTGGGAGCTTGGGTGAGAAGTGATTTTAAGTCCTGCATTTCTTTCTTCTTCTCCTTCAGGTACAAGGAGCCGTCTGATTCCCAAATTGTTTTCCTTGCTGCTTCGTCATTCTTTTCTCTCTCTCACTATCGTTACTCTCTTCCATATAAATTGGAAAGTCTCGGTTGAAGCCGTACCCTGTTGCATTATCTGTAAGGATTGGTGCTGCTGTATCATATCGGAACGGTATATCTGTCCGGATCCCGGCAAGGCTTCAACCTAAGAGATGTCAGCTGAAGGTTTAAGAAAGACTTTTACCTAAATAGCGCTGCTAAATAGCACCGCCGGTAATACTTTTTTACTTTCCTCTGCCACTGGCTGTCTGAGTTTTTGCTCGTATGCCTTGGAAACTTGCCGGTAAGGTTTGTGAGGCGTGCGGGTGCCATCAGATGTCGGTGGTGCCATGCTGTCTCCGGGCCGTAGGTTGTGGGAGGAGGTACAATCATAGCGCCCAAGGTATTGAAAATACCAACGCGCAGGGGTACTGTAGAAGGAAAAACAGGGGAATGTGAGGCATAGTGGAATTGTTCAGCCTAGGGGGGTTTCGGGGAGTTAGGTCTGCAGTGTAGCCGGCTCGATAACGGAAGGTATTACAACTCCAAGTGGGGCTTCGATTCTTCGATAGAAGGCGGAAATAGACAGGTTTCCGCCCGAGCTGTGGTAAAGGAAAAGCTAGATTTCGGTCCAGTTAGCTTCGCAAATCCAAGTCCTGTGTTCTCAGAGCGCTCGTCTGAGAGTAAACGGTAGTAATTCTGGTCGGGGAAGCTTCATTTCAGTCAATGAGTATATTGTAGTGTGCGCGTGGTGGTGGAAGAATGACTTGTGTGATTTCTAGCTACGACGGCGCCACCTAGGAGAGAAATACATGTGTGCCAAGCCCCGCTCCTTAGTGTTACCAAACCCTACCGTATTAACTCGAATAAGAGCAACACACGCTAGTATGTTAAATTAGAGTGTGGTAGGTGCTGCACAATTTTAGTTACAGTTTAAGGAGGGACATTTGTGGCTGGGATTACATGAAGTCAACGTCAATGATAGTTTCAGTGACGTGTTGTATAAATGTGGGGTAATAGGATAGCAATGAATATAGAATAGACTGCCGGACCATGAACCTCAATCATCACGAACAATGTCCGCTTCCACTTCGAGTCATTATAGGTCTGTGGACTCTCAAAGTCATGACAGCCAGCCAGCCAAAAAACATCCAGGTCCTAAACGAAGCGATATTGTCCAAACGCCATTAGCATTTCCTCTGCCGGTCTCATCGATTAAAAGAAATTACACTACACGATACAAACTACGTGTGATATCTTACCTCCATCATGCTACAGTACCGATAGGGCCAACTTCTACCCATCCCGTAACAGCAGCTGAGACAGCACGGCGATTTATGATTTCACCTTCCAATATTACACGTTGGAAAAAGCAGGAAAAGGTGTTATTAGACTCGCTTGGAACACAGCGGCGCAATAGGGTAGGCAAGAGGAAGTGGCCAATAATGGAGAAACTCCTCTATGATGGATTTATAGAACGGACAAATTCAGGAAAATTTGTAAGAAGAGGATGGTTTCGTGTTTGGTCAAAGGCATTAATGTCAACACACTATCCGAATAGTGTTTTTCGATTTTCAAATGGGTGGTTCAGTGGTATGTATTATTTTTTTTATATACATAATTATAAATTGTGTACATAGATAATGAATTTAAATACAGGGTTCCTGAATTGGTACAATATTTCCCTTCGTGTGGGTACAAATAAAGCGAGCAAAGTACCAGCCGACTCCTACTCTGCGATCTTAGCTTGGGCACGCTTTAATCGGCGTAACTCCCAATTACGCTCTGGAAGTGGAGAAAAAGCGGGGGATACTATGGCAGAGGTAGGACGATACCATCTTGCTACGATATGCAATATGGATCAAACACCTGTAACGGGGGCTCCCTCAGGTAGATGGTTCCCAAGGATGCGACCGCACCAAACTTCCAATCTCTCGAACACAGCTCTTGCAAAAGTGTAAAGAATAAAAGTAAACGGTAAAACTTAATATCGTTAAGCTCTGGCTTATCTCAATTAAAGTCTCTCGAGAGGATGTTGATTCTGTCGGGGCAGGAGAGTTCTCGTATAAGCTTCAAGTAGTCAGACTTATACCAAAAACTCCCCCATCAGGTTGCCCCGACCAACATGAGTATGCCCTTCTCCGTAAGGGTTGCTGGCACCATTACCGCATCCCCGAAGGGCTTTAGGTGTCAGCGCACTCTAGCAGAAATCTCCCGTATGCACATTGGTTTCAGCAAGGTGTTTACCAATACACCTGCCGGAGTGAAAACCTCTGCGCATCGGTGTCTCGTCAGTGGCTAACTGTCGAGACTCCTAGGAAAGCTAACTAAATGACTCTCTTCCCATGTGCTATGAACTATGCAAGCACCCGTAGACATCAGGTGTCCTCCGGTTAAGTTCTATCTTTCTTGATTGCGAACTTACGGGGTCTACAACGCTCCCACGTAGAGCTGTGTCGGTAGCGGGACCCGTGGGCGCTACCCATAGTCCCTTACCTCCGACACACCACTCAGCGTGATAAGTATCATGCTATTAGAGTCTTCCAACAACCCACAAAGAGCCTACGGCAAAGGGGCACGTGTAGACATGATTGGCGTAAAACCTTCCCAGATGTCTCCGGCACTACCCGGGACTACTCTGGGGACCCTTCCGGATAGCTCACGCTAACTCCGTCAGTTTTGGTCCGTTTTACTCCGTTCTTTTTGGAGAAGGTACCTGACCTTCTCACCTTGGCTCCCTTATATATCCTGCGAACAGCTTCCGGTCGGACTGACGGCGACGACGCATACAGTGTTATGGACATGTCTTCATAGATTCCATTTAACTAGCATAACGGCAACTCCACCCATTTTGGCCCATGACGCCCGGGGCGAACCCTGGGGCCGCAGGTACCTGTTAGGAATAATCCTGCCAAGTTACAGCATGTTTGGAGCACTCTAGCTCCTCCCGTAGTCTTCCGATCAATATACAAGCAAGTGCCCGTCGATCGTCATTGCGTAACAAACAATCCTAACATTACACGGAATCTTTCCGAGAACGTTTCCGACGGAAGGTAGGGTAATAGTGTCCCAAAGGTAGGGTAAGTATGTCCATGGTGACACGAAATTGGTCTCCATGGTAGGGTAACGTGATTTCCCTAGACAGGGTAAACTCACCCGGCCTTCCGACCTATCCTTAGGCCGGAACCGCGGTGGTCACGTCACTTCCACTACTTAGGTACACCTATTTCTTAAGTACCTTCTGTTCTTCGGGATACCCGGACCATCGGGTATCTCCTGGACATGCTCAGGCATATTCTCCTAGTCTACCATATAACCTCTTGGCCTTATGTATGGGCGTAGACTTAGGTTGCCATAGCTCTATAACGTAGGGTTGTTACAACACCTCTGCCATTCGAGTTTCTTTCTGGCCAAACCTACGAACCGAAAGGATCAAAGACTGTATGGGTTAAGGGAGGTACTAGTGGATGGGATAAGAGGCAGGCAACACTGCAGCTTACTATCTTCGCAGATGGTAAGATGCGTGTCCTGCCTCTTATTTTTTTTAGAGGCAAAGGGGTAGGGGCAACTATTTTAAGAGAAAAGAGTCTCTATGATCCCCGTGTAATTGTGAAATTTAATCCTACTGGATATGCCAATTCAGAAAATATAGAACAGTGGATTGAAGAGCAGCTTGTACCAGCTCTTCATGGCAAACCAGCTTTGCTAGCTTTGGACCTTTTTGGTAGGCACAAAACCAATAATGTTTTGGATACACTTAAAGCATACGATATCACACTCTCGATTATTCCTGCCGGCTGTACTGGTATTGTCCAACTGCTGGACATTTCTATAAACAGTCCTTTTAAAGATATTTTAAAGGTTTGTATAAGGTTTTTTTTGCTTCTATTTTCTATAATATTACATACAAATTAATACTTATACAGGAAATCATTGATGAAAAGGAAATTGAGTTAGAGGGAATGGATGAAAGAGATAGGCCGGGTGAGAGTAAGATTGGACAGCGGCGGATAATGACCACTTGGGCTGTTGGTGAAGCATGGGAACGTTTCTGTACATCCCGGTATGATGTAATTGTCCGAGCCTTCACTACCGTTGGACTTTCCTTGCCGATCAATGGAACACGCGATAGTGAAATTTCACTAAAAGGGATTGATTGTGAGAGGTTAGCTCATGATCTCGGGAAATGGGAAATTGGGGGATTGGAGGAGCCTACCATGGACTTAGATGATTTCTCAGAAGGTGAAGAGTCCTTACTGTTAGGGGGTAGGTAACTCTAAAGTCAAGCGAGTATACACTAGGCCCTGTAATCTTCTGTCTCGGAGATAGTCAAGAAGGCTCGT